ACGTTGTCCGGTTTTTATTTTGTTTGATGTTATGATTGGGTGTTATAATTGCTTTAATTAGGTACACGGGACGCAATAAAGCACGATAGTTGTTTTGTGCCACGTTTTGCTTGCGATTAATAGAGTCTGGTTTTGTTTTGTGCAAAGCACGACTGTATTCGTTGCTTTTTATATATGTTAAGTTGATTCGCACTGTTCTTCCGTTGCCGAGCATTGAGTTTTTCTGATTTTATCGTAACAGATTAGTTTGAAAGTTGAAGAAAGAAAACCTGCGACACGAAGTAGGCGTTATACCATTTTTCAGTGTATTAATATAAAATATCAAAATATATGTTTGAAGTTTTCACATATTTATACGTATTAAATACGCATTATATTTATTTTAAGGAATATACGCGCACATTGCATTTTTTTTAAATTTAATAGTAGGCCTCGACCCACAGATACTTACCTTTTTTCATACTTACGTATTTTCAAGGGAGGCTGTTAGTTCTTCGTATCTTTTTAAACCTAGAAGAGGCAAAATAAAACACCAGTGAGAACAGATGTTTAGATTCGACGAACACTTCCGTGACAGAAGAGAGTTTGGAGAAATGCACCTTGATGCACACTCATGTCAACTCTTCCTGCCACGTGATGTTCGTCTCCTCTAGAGAAAAAATGAGAAAAAGCCAGTAAGAAAGGAGTGAGAGAGAGAAAGAGAAAAGAGGTAAGATTTTAAGAAGGAAGAAATGTATATTAATTAAGAATGGAAAAAAATAATAATTATAAGGAAAAATAAACATGAAAACTTTACCAAAAAAAGCCTTAAATCTTAGCGTATTTTGCGTTTGTATTAGAAATGTATTTGTCTTGCTATCAATATGTTGTTACTAGATTTTATTTACTATAACTGCTAAGAGACCTTATTGTTTATTTAATAAATGAATATATTAGGTCAGCGTAGTAATGTAAGAAAGAACACAATTAAATTTTATAAGTTATGAATATACCTGAAAGCAGGCAATAATTATATTGTTACAGGAGTTATTATTTCAGCATCTTAGAGCTCGAGATTTTCTTTCATTAGATATTATATCCAGACAGTTTTTCCTTCCAGTTAGAAATTACTTCAGACTCAGTTATATCCCATACCTTATCTCTCGCTGCAAAAGATGCTGGTAGAAAGCACCTATAATGGATTTAACTAAATTATTAACCTCGTTTGTTTTGGCATCTCGATCTTCCTTGTCGAGAACCTTTTTTATCTTGATTACCTGAACCTGGAATAACAGATAATTTGCAATTAGAGCCTAAGTGATCGAATTAAAAAAAATGTAGAAGTCTCCATTACATGCCAAGACAAACGTTACATTCAAGGAATATATGATGGTTGGTGTTTTTCTCAGATTTGATAAAACCCTAAAATGGAGAGTTGAGAGCCAGCGAGATAGTAAAAATCGAGGCAGTCCTGAATAAACCACCCTGTTGTGATGGGGATGGATTAGGTTGCGCAGTTTATGGTAGCGTCAGGGGGTACCGGCATCAATTTTACATTCGTTAGATATAGCTATGAGATATGTAAAGTAAAGAATTATTGCACGTTATATTATGTGGAACCCAGTAGTCAGACAAAATAGCACGAGATTCTTCTATTCTAGCATTTGACATATGGAGCAAAACCAAAATCTTTCTAAATTCAGAATACATTTTAGACTTTCTTATACTTAAAAAATCAGGAAGATTGGAAGAAGTTTCGTCTACCAGAAAACTTAAATACATTGAAATATATTTGAAATAAAAAAGTTCTCTGTACAGACTGGGTGGCAGCAATACTATCGCGCTGTCAGTCAGCTTCCGTCCAATATTAATAAACTTGACAAAAGCGCTTCAGATATGATTTTAACATAAATCAGGTGCGTCTAAAAACGATAAATTTCCATATGGAGAAAATAATCCAATTACATAACAATCATTTGGGATAAAATTTCAGGCAAATTACACGTTCAATCAAATGTGGTATTACTGAACACGACTTTTTAGTTATTGTAGCTTGGAGCATGAAAGTAAGGTATGCATATACGTCATTTATTGTCCGTCATACAAATAGGTGGGTGAAATACGCAAAAATTGTTTTGAACATTTGCACTGCTTTCTTCATTTTATCGTACTTATTTTATTGCTGTGCATTCAAGTTCAAATTTTGCGTGCATTTGATCTGTGTTTACAAACTTTACAATCTTTTAGTGGTAAACATCGAATACATTTCAGTTTATTATAATTTCAATTAGTTGGCACGGTTATCAAAATAAATTTTTAGAGGATTTTTTTTTCTATTATTACTATTTTAAAGTTCATTAACACAATACATTATCATGTTACCTCAAAGTTGCATTTGGCTCCTTCATACTACAGTAGAAAACTCAAAAATTCATGTAGGTTTGATTGGGCACAGACACACCATAAATGTTACCACAACAATGTGAATTCAATTTTATTTTCTATGCTTATAACAATTACAATATTTACATTGTCTGATTTTCATTGCTCAGTGATTTCTCAAATGTAAATACCTGGTGTTAGCCTGATCAAAGTTAGGTTCCTATATAATTTGTTTTTTTGAAAATTGGGTAATTGGTTTGGTGCAACGGGTATCAAAAATAATTTAGAGTTTATAGTCGTTGATACGATTTTTCATTTTATTAACTTTTGCATTCTATGCTTATTTGGCATACATTGCAGACGTTCCCCGCGAACTGACGCCACACAGGTAAATTATTAAAAACATCTAACGTGAATTTAATTTGAAAGCACGCCCTGTTTATGGCACAAACGAGGTGAATTTAATTTTACGATGTGTGTTTGTGGCGACGACATAATTTTGTACGCAGACGTCACCCAGTCAAATCATTAACCCTGTTTAATTTTAAAGCAAGGCCCAACCATGGCGCAAACGAGGTGAATTTAATTCAACGTTGTGTGTTTTTTTTATTAGCGTACTTAATGACCTAATGATTGCTCGGTGTATAGCTTGTTCTCGTGTGATGTCCCACTAACACACTGAATAGGAACGCTACAATGGAATATTAATGTATTTTCTTAGATATATCCTCTTCTTTCTTTATATTTTTTTCTGATATATTAGTTGTTTTATCTAATATTTTGTTGGAGAAAGTTGAGTTATTGCTCCAACTTTTTCTATTTATTTTAGACAAATGTGGGGCAATAACCTAACCCTACCAAATGTAGTGGGGAAAGTATAGAAACATGTTTTACATTTTTGCAAAAGTTTTGATCTCGTTATATTTTGAGTATAAATATTTTCAGCCGTATCGCATTCCGCTTCAGTGGCGTTTGTCGAGTGTTTCGTAGCTGAGGGAGTTTGCGCAGATTATCGAAATAGACTGAAAAACAGAAACGAGATTGCTCAAATTTCGGTTTCTAACTTTAAAGAAATGGAAGTATCCGCGCCAATGTTGGTGCAATTTTGTGGCTATAAAAATTTAAATGTACTCCAAAATGTTTTCAAAGCGGTATAATACTTTAATAAATTGTTAATTGCAGCAGAATTTGGTAATATTCAGGCACTTAAATGTTTATATCAGTTTAATTTCTCTCAAGGGCAATGTACTCTGGTCCATACTGTAAGCGTATATTAAAAATTCCGAGAATCAAACCAGCATAAAATCAATTTGAATATCAAAATTGATGCCCAAACTAATTTTAATATTGTGCAAATAGTAATATTTTTATATTAAGCATTTTCTATTTACATATTTCATAAAACGATATTGAAATTAAAAACGACCATTTGAGCTATAAAATCTTTACAGGGTTTGGCAAGTGCAGCCTATTTTGGTAGTACCCAGACTTTTTAAACTGTTTAGGCAGTTTGATATCTGTACGGAGAGCATTCCTCGAAATTAACTAAAATATTCAATGAATGACCTAATAATATTCTACTAGCCTTCGAATGCAATTTTTTTGAGGACATGATTGTCACCTGCAACATTGTTCCCTATTCTTTGCAAATGATTTTTTAAGGTATACGATCATACCGCACTCTTCAAAATCACAAACAAATATATCAATCAATCAATCAATCAATCAAACACAACAAAGATTGCAATTTTGTATTTTGAGGTATACGTGTCAAGCACCATCCGTGTCATCCTAATTGCGTCAATAAAAGCACAAATCAAGTTGATTTATGCTTTTATTGGTGCAATTAAGATGACGTGACAGGCAATTCAATTACTAAATGAGGCACAGATATCAAATGAGCCACACATTAGACCTGAAATATTGGTGATTGTTTACGACTCTTTCTTTATTTACCTGGAATATTCAATAAATGTATCCATACGATCTAGTGACACTTGGATACAAACATTCCCCTTAATGTTACGAAAAGCGTATTGTGTTTGTTTCCTGATACATTGTTCCTCTAACTCTCACCTATAATTTTTTTTATCTCGTTACATTGGTAAACAAATCTTATCGGCTCCCACGTATCTACTCGTGTTTTGCTTTTCCGCCTACGCGAAAGTTCCGCAATGACATCAATTTTGATTTCATATGTTTAGTAACCCAGTAATTTTGAAAGCCCGCACCAAGTATCGAGACCAATACACGTCTGGCCAGACTCGCATCCCTGGCTCATGATTGCGACGTAAGAGGTTATGAACATTTGTTAAACACATCTAAACTCGGCTTAAAAGCCCTAGCAAGAAGGGTTCTATCCTTCCACCTAGCCTCAGTTAATTGACAATTTTTTTTTAATATTATTATTATTATTTTTTTTTTTATACTAATTTTTTTTATTAAATGTCACACATCCTGTCTCAGCGTATGTCGCGTTGGACATCTGGAGTCACTCATACGTCGATACGTCGACAATAATCTCAGGTTTGCGTTAAATGCAATGTATAAAATATATAACCATTTTTGCTCGAGACTAGACCAAACCTATCTCTATCCATAATCTCTTCAGACTACTTAAAACAAGAAAAAGTATTCCAACTTGGGTGAGTTTATTTGTTTGCATCTTGGAAACGTTTTTGCTTTTCACTTTTTTATTTTTTTTTTGTTTTTTTATCTGATGTTATTGTTTTTTATTATTTACATTCCCTGGATATTTAAAAAAAATTCCTTTTTATAGGCGATATAATAAAATAGATTATGCCCACCAAAAGCGGTATCCTTCCCCAGCGAAAATATTTAACTATGTTGAAATGTATAAAATGAATGAGAATCTAAAAACACAGCAAAGAAAAAAAATGCATAAAATAAAAATTTTCCAAGTAAAACTAAACTGAAAGAATTATATTGAAAAAATTAAAACTCGGCTCTCGCGGAGAGCAAGGTTTAGACCGTTCATTGTTCCTTTAAAAGTTAAACAAACGAAACGATACCTTGAATTATATTGGGTGAGTGATTAGATCTCGATTATGGCTGATAGGTACAAAAAATTGAATATCAGATAAAAATCATTCAATTCCACGATAAGCTTAGATTTCTGGTAAACTAAAGAGAAATGCTACGTGGGCACGAAAGTCGCATATTTGTACCGGTACCATGGGGCCGAGTTTGCTTAAAATTTACAGTTTATGCTGTTAGTTTTTCAGATGTATCTGCCAAATGCGCAATATATCAGAGATATCTTAAAGTACAATAACTGCCAAAAGTATAAAATATGTTATATAAACTTTAATGATTGTTACATTGTAAAATGGAACTCTCTTTGAGTTTTCAACTCGGTGCCAGCATCGCGAAGTGCAACGTGATGAACACGACGCTAGCGTGAGGCCTAGATCGCTTGGCAAACTACTCGTCCTTCTGTTTCAAATCTTCGACGCACATCCACACGTATCTTGTTGGCAGAGATATTACAGTAAAAATTCGAAACTCTTAGGAACAAATAAGCAAAATTTGACATTTACAAAATATTCAATTACACATGTGTTGGATGTTCATATTTGTCGCCTTTCCCTTCATCTGATAAAAGACCCGATGTTTGGCTACGAGTGCTAACATTACGTTTCCTGAAGTGACGTGAATCTGCTTTCCTGAATTTGTAACGATGCAGAACGCCCAAAGCTACAATAATAGCTACCACCGCGCACAACAATCCAACTACAATACCTACAATTACGCCTGTGTTTAAATTATCGGTAACTTCTGCAGTAATCATGGAAATGGTGTTTACAATTTCTGTAGACGATTGCATATGTTTTGGGATGTTAGCTTCCTCATCGTCTGGGTTATTCGATTTTTCAACGATGGCTGGGGTAGTTGATGGGAGGATCTCAAAGATGGAATGTGGACAATTTTGTCGCGATATTATTTCGTTTCCTACTTCCGGGGTCAAAAGTTTATTCTGATATTGAGCTGGGCTGTGGCAGACTATTTGAAGTTTTCTTGCTAACGATCGGACTGTCGGATTTTCGTGTTTATGCAAATCTTCGACGTATTGCTAAAAACAAAATGTGGATTTTTTTTACCCTTTTTTAAACAATTATTCAAATCAAGTCAATGATAAAATTCCCCTAATCTAATTATTTGCAGAGCAATATTATTTGTTTGTTCTGGCATTAAAAAACACTTTTTTATAACAAAAAGTTCTAGTCTGCACAAAATTTTAGCAACATCCCCCCAATATTTGTGTAAAAGTAAACAATACAAAACGGTGATTATTTTTTTCAATGACAAATGTCGAATTAATAATTCCGTAACAAATGTCATGTCGGGCTATGATTTTCAACATTTTTATTTTATTTCTATATGCAATACAAAATGAAAAAATAGACGAAGTGTGATAGCAATTCACTGTAATAGTAGAAATTAAATATTTTAAATTTTCAACTCACTAAATAGCTTAAGATCCCACAATCACAAATCCAATCGTTCATTTCCAACCCCACATTACTTTCTTTGTTTGCATTCTTGATAACGTTTTTAAACCACTCGGATTTTGGTGTCTTCAGTCGGTTGTCTTTTAAGATAAGCGAATGCAATTCACTAGAAATAAAACAAATTAAAATTTGCAAACCCCAAAATATTAAACTTCCACTAAATATAAATAATCTAGAAATAGTAAATAAATAAGAATGAATATAAAATCTGTTTCAGTCAAATATCATGTTTTTTTTTATTTATCACCTCAACATTATCTAGTTAAAAAACTCTCTTAGCAACGGCAACAGGGTCTCACGAAGGGTTATAATTAAATTCGCAGCAGGAAATTCCGCCGCATGGGAAAAATCGCCAAAAGAGCATTTTGCTGTGAAACAAGTATTTGTGATAGTATGAAAAATCTCCGTAAGACCATTTTGCTGTAAAATAAGTATTTGCGATAAAAATAGTTAGGTTTTTGATGTATCTTTAAAAAGGATTCGTTATTTTAAGAGTATACCCTAACCTTATAACCTAACTGTTTACCACAAATACTTGATTTACAGCAAAATGCTCCAGCATGATTTCCTTCGGCGAAATATCCTGTGGCGAATTTTCCAGACACGCTCACGAAGTACGCGCCCACAATACCTTCTAGTGGGTATATTACTGATTTTAGCAAATATTATTCCTAACCCCCACCTGATTATGTCATTCAAAATTACGTCACAACACGTCATAGAGCTTGCCAAAGTATAGTTACGATTGTTCGATATATGCCCATATGTGACGACTATAATGTGCTAAGTAACGACAGCGATCTCTCTCGTATCGGGATTGCTACGACGAGAAAACGAGAGAAATAGCTTGCTCGATTTCGGATGATCGTCTGTATACTTTGGAGGGCCTTATTAATTCACTGTGACACTTTTCCTGTCCAATTTACTATATCTGGGTAAAGTGGAGACTTCGAGTTTGCGCCCGACGGGAACATATTTGGGGCCCATCGCCTTAATGGCACGGTTTACAAGTTTTTAGTGGTTTTTGACGGTTTTTCACTGTTTTCTCACGTTTTGACAAGGTTTGTACTGATTTTTGAAGGCTCGCACAGCTCCTGCACGTTTTGACAAGGTTTCTAGCGGTTTTAATCGATATTGCATAGCAGCTCTGTCTTACCTCAGTGTTTCAAATGCATCGGCCGGAATGTCTTCGAAACTGTTACTACTCAAGTTCAAATGCTGAAGTTCTGGGGTTGCATGAAATAGCTCTGGATGAAGTTTTGAAATCAAGTTGTTGTCTAATGACAGATATCTGAAACAACAAATTTTGGGTAAAATAAAGGTACAAATTGTTACATTATTAAGACGAAGGTTGAAGTATTTTTCATCTAAATTTTGATATTTGATTTTTACTGGTTGTGTTAGGATCAAATTTTTGCCGAGAAATAATTGAAACAAGCTTGAGCAGTTGCAAGGCATGTTACTTCTGAGATCGGTATATATTCAAGAAGCTCCAAGTACTGAAACCTAGGGGAAGGGAGCATTTTCCCTTAGCTGACACAAACAGTCCCCGAACTCGTAATAGAATTAAAATAAAAAAATCGGAATAAAATTATGGCCCGACCCTAACCTGGTAGACACACTCCAGCAGTGCTAATCTTATTGCATAAAAAAATGTTAACCAACCCTCTGAAGTATACCATACAATTGGAAGCGACGGCACGGTACGTATTCTATCAAACAGGACATATTTAATAGATAATTTAAATTTTTTTATTGTATTTAAATATATCTGTACTGTATGATTACCTACCTAAGCTTCGCCACATTTTCTACGTGTTCCGGTAGAAATATCTCTGATATGGCATTACTGCCAAGATGTAGTGTTTGCAGATTGACGAAAACAACCTGAAAATATGAATAAAATATACAAATAGGAAGTTGTGCCAAGTAGGAAAAGCGATATTGCACAAAGCTAAACCACCAGTATAAAGTATAACTCAAGAGTCTTGCTGTAAACTAACACAATGCATCTCTGCAATGTTTTGTCTGGTCGAGATCAGCCATCTTCACGCATTTATATTTAAACTGTATATTTGTGTTAGAATGCAGCAAGACTATTGAATTGAATAGAATAGTCTATTTTTTCGTGCTGCAGCATCTTTGCATTCATACGCAAAAGAATCCACTTGCGCTAAGGTAGTCTGTTATTTCAGCGTCTGGTAGTTGAAGCATGAATTGAAAATAAAATCCTACTCCTTATACTCCTGCACGTTTTTGTAAGGTTTTTCGCTGTTTTTGCAAGTTTTTTTGTTTTTTTTTTGACGCATTTTTACTGTTTTTGGACGTCGTTGCAAGGCTTTTAGTGGTGTTTGATGGCTTTTCACTGTTTTTGAAAGATTTTTGGTGTTTTTTACGCATTTCCACTGTTTTTTGCACGCCTTTGCAAGGTTTTTAAGCGCAACTGGTAGTTAAGGCGGGGATTGCAGAAAATAATATCTTACCCCGTATGTTCTTGGCCACGATCTGATTCCGTTATGAGTTAAAGTTAAGGTTTCGAGCCCTTCCAACCCGCTGAAGGTTCTGGGCGTGATAACAGATATTTTATTATTGTCTAAGTGAAGATTTTTAAGTCCTGTCAATGTACTGAACGTTCGGTCTTCAATACGCTGTATGAAATTGCCTGAGTAAAAATAACAAAAATTAACTTCATTGTTACCACCAGTTTGTCACGACGATTGGCGATAAGCGTTAGCAATACGTTTGCTAAAGCACCCCGGATTACCCTGCAAGGGTCTGATTCCAATGGGGGATGACTATGTGCGAGAGGAATGCTGGACTGCTCTAATAAAAAACGTATGGATATTAAAGACAATGTATATAATTGAGGAAATCATTTTTAACATTTGATGCTGTCAGCTCTATTTCAACTCATTCAAAATAAAAATCACGCATCCTTTTTAAATCTTAATAAAACATTCTAAAACATGCTTAATGCGCGACTTAATAAGCTTGAGAACCACTGCTATAATTCCGGTATAAATGTCTGGTGTTTTATATCTGTTATGTGTGGAAATGCAGCCTGCTTTTAAGTGGAAACTTTTCAGTATTGATGCTATTTACTATGATTTGTTTTTTACTAATTGTTACTTCTCAGTTTATTCTATTTTAATTTCAAACAACCATATAAATTTACCTTGAAGTTGTAAAGTTTTTAAGTTATTCAAGTTTTGAAAGTGGCTTCGACCGATTTCTTTCAGTTTATTGTTCTTCAAAGATATAACTAGAAGAGAACTTAAGCCGACGAACGTCCCTGAATGCAATTCTGTGATTTCGTTGTTATCAAGATGTACATGTTTCAATTGTTTGAGACCTGTTGATAAATATAATATTGAGTGTTTCGAATTGTAAAGTGTATAGAAAATTGGGTATTGTTAAATTATTTTAAAAGTTTTTCTGAATAACGAGTACAGTGAAATGTTTAGATAACTTCTAGTGGGGTATAAACAATGTTATTTTTGGATTTGCCTCTGATCGCTTACGACTCTTCTAACAATGACTTCAGTTTTAGCTGGGGACTCTATTCCTTGCTTGAGCGAACTTGTATGAAAATTTTTATTTTATGAGGATTTCGAATATTTTGTACAAAAAAAAAACGCCACGCTTTAAAAAAACAATATAATACGGTTATGGTTAGATTTGAATTTCCAGTGCAATCTGCATTTCTAACTCTAACCCAACTCTAACCCTTTGCACAACAGACCCAGGATTTCCACAACACAATTTCAACGAGGTGATAAGCCAACACCTTGCGTGGAAATATGAATCGCTCACCGCTTTTTAGCAGGTAAGTGAAAATATTATTATTGGATTAACCTTTGAAGGCATGTAGATCGATGGCTCGAATTTTATTCGAGCAGAAGTGAATTTTTTCTAGTTCCTTATTCTTTTCGAACGTTTTTGAAGCCAGGTGAACAATGCTGTTCATGTCTCCGTACAATGCCAATATTCCTTGGTACGGTCTGAGATCATCTAAACAGTAAAAGTAATAATAACAATTGTTTATAGAATACCATTGTTCAGAAAGAAACATTGTTCATAAAATACACTTTATGTTCTCTTATAAGTACAATAATTTGATCCCAATCGACGAAATCTAAATATTCCCTTCTAATCGAGAAAACCGGTTTCTTTTATAAAGTGGGTTATAGACAGTGATGAGATTGAAATGTTTGAGGGCTCGATTTTGTATCGATTGACTAACAACGGCTTCTCTCGTCTCAGAAAGCTTTGTCGAACTTATAGCTCTAAAAGCCAGAAAGAGTTAACTGAATATCGTGACATTTTAAGAACAGTTACCTCAGAATCACATGAACCACCTATTTTTTGATAGTGGACGCATTTGCTTTTTATTGCACAACAAACTCCGATAAATATTTTGTTTGAACTATAATAAACCATATTGCGTGATATTTGTATGCACTATAATAAATCATTCTAGGAATTCCGCTCCGTTAATTATTTTACTTTAATCAAGCTTTTGAGCAAACCTAATTATCAGCATTGTGAAGTGTTTTGCAAACTTTCGCGTAATCAAAAAGAAATAAGTCAGCAATAAATCACAGCAGCCTAATGATAAGGTCCTTGAATCTACGTTAAACATTCACCCCTTATCGCATTAGTATCCACTCACTGCTCACCTTAGCAAATGTACTGAGAGCTTTTAGCATACCTATCGTCGGGACTGTAATACAATGGTTTGCTCGGTCGGGTCGTTTTGGAGTTTCGATATTAGATGGCATTTTCATGTAAACCACACTAAATTATTTTTACATCAGGACTTTCAGCGTTAACGCAATATTTTCGTTTCAAGCCAGAATTTCAACAGCGCCCATCAAAACTTCAGAAAAATCCTCGACTCTAACATCCAATGGAGACATTTTAGAAAGGCATAAAAAAATCTGTGGTTGTAACATGAAACTACCAAACCTAATTCAGTCATGTGCGAAAAATGAGTCTTGTTGGCGTAAATAAGTGAGAAGGTTCCGCCACAAAAACCAAATGGCTCCATGACTAAAAGTGAACAAAAGAGAGCATAAATAGTGAAAAAGGCAGAACAGACACAGTACTTACTTGAGTAAAATGAAAATAAATCACTGAAAATACGTCAAAAGCGACCTATATGCCACAACTTAAGTATTTTTGCCTTTACGCTTATAAATTGATTTCACTTTTAATGCGCATTTACAATCGTAAATTTAAAAAAGACATAAACTTGAAAAGATTACAACCTTAACTTTTGTTTAAACTGTATTGCAATATATTAATTGAACTAGACTTCAACCGAACAAGTCACGCAAAAATCATCATAAAAATCGTGAATCAAAAATGTCTCTGACATATTTATGACGCAAGTGTGCCACAACTGTTCACATTTGTTTATTCTCATTTATGAGTTGCAAATTTGTCTTGTTGCATAGCAAAGGTAAATTTATCTTATCAAGTATAATATATAACAATTCACTTTTGCCACAATTTTAAATGTACAAATGTTCTGTATATTGCAATACATGACAAATGTTGGTGAATATTTGGTACTGCCGAAGTATTTGAACCAAGATGGCGGACACCGGAACGTTTTCCTTATTTCAGTTCTATTACGAGTTCGGGGACTAGCCAGGTGACTCCCGTAGTATTTCTACCTAAAATTATGGCCTAACCTTAACCTAGTACACACACTACGGGCCGGTGTCCGCCATCTTAGTCCACATACTTCGGGAGCACCGACTATTTTATCAAGTATATGGCACTTTACTCACTAAAGCATATTTAGAATTGCGCTTGCCGTAATTACGGGGACCGTACATTTGAACCCACGTACATTTGGTCCATACATTTGCACCCGTATATCAGCTGTTTCAATCTATATACGGGTGCTAAAATCCATGGGTTAGGGTTAGCATGGGTTCAAATATCCCTAAATTTTTTTTCTCTATAGGTGCAATAGTATGCAGGTGCAATTGTCGTGGGTTCAAATTACGTGATCAAATGTAATTGAACCGTAATTACAATTGGAAATTTAGCCGCCCTGTGCAGAAAAATTAAAAAAAAATTTCCAGTTTATCCTTAAATTTAAGTTGACTTGAATTTTATCAAAGGCGGGTAATTGCATAGTTGCAATGTTTTATCGATATAATAGAAAACAATGCAATCTGTTTAATGTACTCAAAAATCACCTTTGCTCTCATGCTGTAAAATATTTACAATCATTAGATTACACCTTGCAAATAGTATGAGCCATAAAGTCAGTTTTCGGCCTTATATATTATTCCTGGTTGCCAAGAACACATTGAGTCATTGGATCAGTTGATATCATGACGTCTTATTCTGTAATGATCACATCACATATATGTGTTCTGACGTCATCTTTTGTATGAATTTACTTCTAACGGAATAACTCGGACATTCTACATACAATGACTCATCAAGGACAGCGTGCTTATGTATAAATTTCTCGCGTTGAATTCATTCCTATCAAACGTGTAGGTATAGAAATCATATAGGGGCGCTCCAGAAGTGTGTGTACCAATATGGAGGTAACAAATTTTGTTCGCCCATTTTACATCAAATTGTGTATAGGGACTGAAACCTATGGTCAGGGGGTTTATTTACTTGGCTAACACAGACAGTACCCGAACTCGTAATAGAACTGAAATAAGGAAAATCGGAATAAAATTATGGCTTAACTCTAACCGGGTACACATACTGCGGGAGTCCCCAAATAGAACTGTACGTCCAACTACTAACCTTCACTAATCTCTTGTAAGCAACTGTCGTTGACGTAAAGCTTTTTCGCTAATGTACAGTTACGATTTGGGGCCAAATGTCTATTAATTTCATCGACACTCGGTAATCTCTTGTACTTGGACTGGTCACACCATAGCGAATCATCGGCAATAGAATACATGCAGTATGGATAAACCTGACGGGGGTCCTTTCTAAAAGAAGATGGTGAAAAAAGGTTGGTTCTATTTAATTAAAAAAAAGATTTTTATTCAATTTGCATTAACTACGAAGCTACCGTTTTATACGGCATATACAGCATATGATTCGTCTTTGGATACTGTTTCAACCAAGTATATATTATAAGTACATATACAAAGTAGCAGAAAGAGATCGATTTTGCTTCTTTGCTGTAGCTAGTGATTCGGCGACGTCCTTACGTCTCTTAGAAATCGCTTGCATCAATTGCATTTAAGGTATTATACTTAATATATTTTTTCACCATTGGTTCATCGTTAAATCTTTTTTTGCTGTATAAACAAAATTTGAATTCTGTGATTTTTTTCTCCAAACGTTGCTAGCTCAAATAAATTGAAGGTCTTACTCTGTGCATTTTGCTTCTGCAGTTTCAGACGCCGCCTTCGACAACATGACGATGAAAATAACAGCCAAGATCTTCAAAAAAGACATCTTTGCTGCGGTTTTTACATTACTTATAGCTAATTTATGCTGAATTAAGACAGACATGATTAATTAGAAGATCTCATATTTAATAAACAAAAACGATTATCGCCCATTCTAGACGACCACAACCTCTGAACATTATTAATTGCCGCAATATTTTTGCAAGCCTTTTTTTTAATACCTGGTAGATTTTTGAGATTTACCTAGGTATTACAAACTATCTGCAGCGGTTCTGCACATTCTGCAAAGCTTTTAGATTAAAGACGGCTGAATTTTTGTACTCGAGCGCGTATCGCAACTTCTGTTATTTTTTAAAACTGGATGTTTGCACAGCGCGACAGATCCTTTGTCGACAATATTTGAACTCTCGCACGATACCTTCTCTCCAACTTTATTCTCTCAAACATATCAGAAAAGTAAACATGTCATCCAGCTTGCTCGCTCAAAAACTAAATAGCACACCCAAATCACACCCCCTCAATGCGGCATTGCGTGATGGTTAAGATTCTTGCAAATTGCAGAACAAGTATGTCCCTTAGACAGCACTTTGGCTGGCAGGATGGGGTCTGACGATCATTTAATGAGTTCAATGATTTTCAAAGTCGCGCACGATTCAAAATATGCACAAACACACAATCACTCATTAAAGCAATAGTTGACACACAACAGTTGTTCATTATATTTTCAAATTGAAGTAATCGTAATTATGCGGTTTGACCGTTTCTAATTTTACTACTAAGATTAATGGATATTTCGCAGTTACAGATAGATATATATATACAAATGCAACCAAACGCAGAGCGCCAGAGCCAGACTTGACTATTGACGACGGAAAATGAATTGTGCGGACCGCTGGTATATGTAATCACTGAAAATTAAACCACTGCATTTTATTATCTTTTACTCAAGTACAAAATCATGATTAAAATATTTGTACTTTACAAGTCTTACGCGCAAACGTTATCTATGCATGATTAGGATTTACAGCTGTTCAATTTCTCACTTTACAATTTTCACATCTAGAATTAGCAGGGAACACGGTAGCGATGGCCCAAGACGTTAATCCAATGCCTAATCCATGTAATTGCTATCTGAAAGAGATCTCACAGTTTAAAATTAGCTTCTACATACACGACGATTCTGCCTCTAAGCCTTCCCCAGTGGTAAATATTCGTTGTCGAGAATAGGTAGGTAATAGCAACTATACTATTGTACTACTCTTTTTCTTTTGCATCGACAGTCCTTTTGTCATTAATAACCTCTAGCATTTCGCTACAACATCTTCCTATGTATTATTTTCTAAGCTTACGTCAAATGCCATACCATAACCAATTGTGTTTTGGGGAAGCGAATTCGAACTCAACTGCCCAGGTGCGACGATAGGAATAGACAAAAGACGACGATTTTGTTTGGCGCTTCAGCATGAACGCAACAAAAGCAAATCCACTGTAATCCACTCCCCCATTTTAAAATGAATAGAATAATAAAAATGTTGTTTGGAACAAACCTGGTTAAGTTTGAAGTATAAAGGTTTGAAGTGTAAAATAAAGCAGGCTTGGTAATCTGATAATCATCTTTGTTACAAAGAGTTATGGAAGGGTATTGTTCAACTCGGGGAAAACACCGACGTTTCCTCGGTGATGACTAGGCTCAATTTCATTTTTTTGTTTTCATTTGTGAGTCTTGCTTATTACTACCTGTCAGTAATTTTACTCTTTTGAAAGTTTTCGTAAACGCTCTCAAAATAATTTTCGAGCCCTGGATACATCACCAGTATAGTTATAGTAAATTATGTTACTTCGCCGTTGCTTTGGCGCGAAAAATGCGCCAATGTTGGCAAAAGAACGTTGTGTATTGTGGTGAAGAACTAGTATTTAATAGCGGCTGTGTTTTCACAGCGCACAAGTCTGAAAACGCCCGATATTGCGGAGTTTCTAAGAAGATATCTTATACAATCATGTTTTTTATGTGGTCTGTAATAGCAAGGACATTGCACTACAAGAATTATGGAGTAATTTATACAGAATTCCTAATAAGTGGGCATCATAAATTAATTTGGAAATTCTGAATATTATACTTCACAGTTTCTCAGATGCAATCTTCTCTGGCTAACACAGGGGTTCCCAAACTTTTTGAAAAAATTCCATGGCGGACCCCTTGCATTTTTTTAATGGCACCCGGCCTTGTGCACTAAAACAAAACATCAAAAAAAATCACAACAAAAAACCAATGCTCCGTATAGCGAAACAAACAAAGAATATAAAGTGCAACTCTAATGACATGTAGAGACATCTAGTCTGTTTATATATTTGGTAAACGTGCAAAAGGGCAGCGTCAGCTACAACTCTGCGGTTAGCAAACTCGTGGGGGCATGAATTGAACTATCTCTGTGATATACAAGCCCACAGCGCTGTGACATCACAATGGGGTAGCGTGAAGAGACCCTTCTGTCTGTCTGTCTGTCTGTTGTCTGTTTTGATCTGGACCAATCTGGATGAGATTTTTCATGTGGGTTATCTTGTCACCCTAGTAATATGCGTTTAGTAAAAAGTCTGGATATGGGTTTCGTTTTCATGGTAACAACGAAAAACGCACTGATCGTTAGGAAGTTTCCATTTTTTCACAGTTGATCGCCGTTTTCTCGCCAACCATGTCGAAAATTGGAATTTTAAGAACGCTACCTTCCGCATAGCAATTTACTCTTTCCAATAAGTCGTCATTGGTCTCGATACTTTATAAACTGGAGAATCCTTAGGGATTTTAGTGAAAATGTTTTTTTTTTAAGTTTTAGCCACATATCAGTCACGCGAGTATGTCAACGCCACGCGCAGCGTTTGAAATGAACTCAACGGAACGGACAGCGTTCGAAATGAACTAGCATTTTTAGTAATGTTCCGTTTGTAAACTGAAATGACGCGGCCCTCAAGCAATGGCGGATATCCAACTGGGCGCCTACCGGCTTGTTGTATTATCAAGCTATCCGCCATATTACGGATTTGTTTCGCGGAACCTTCCGATAGTGCCTCACTGACCCCAAAAAGTCCGCGGTTTGGGAACAACAGGTAACATAAGTCCACGGAAATGTTTCCAAACACGTTTTCTGTTTTTGAAGCATTGATCAAAATCAAAAACATTCGATTACTTTTTCCATTTCCTAAATTTTGTTTTAAACTTGGAAAGAAAATAAAAAGACTTAAATTACTGAATACATAGGAATCATAATGGTCTTTAAGAAATTTGGTTTGCCGTCAATTTTCTCAATAGATTTGTACATCACATACATATACCAGAATATAAACAACTCCAAATTCGTGAAGAGCCTCAAAAATTTGCAGCTAACTACTTATATAATATTTGAAAACTCCAGTTAATTTTGTTATTTTTGTAACTATGCACCGTGGGGGTCGCTCATCGAAACTTCTCATATTCGTCTTTAAACTATGATTTCCAATCCAAATATACAAATCGGTGTATCAATGATTCAATATTTATTTTACCCACACACGTCTCAGCCTGTCTTGTAATGTACATAGCAGCATTAGTATACATTTACATTATCCATCCTAAGTCGCTTACAGAATTTACCTATCATAAATGTTTGTTACATAAATTCACTTCACAATTTGTACAGTTATATATGGGACACAGGTTTCAAAACTCGTATTTACTCGAATTTAATGACAAGACTTCGATTTACAAGAACGCTAAATACACAATGCTTTTAATCACTTTCAGCTAGTGACCTCAATTCTAAAAGTTTGCTATACTTTGCCATGATACTAAGTTCGGTACAAAAAATTAATTTTGATAATATTCATTTATTAATAATTTTACCAAGGTGTCTTTACCAAGGCAACAACGGAAGACGTAAAATTGAACGTTCCTATATAATTTCATAGGCAGCGGAAGAACGCAACCTCATATCGGAATTATTTTAATTTTTAAGTTGCTATATTTTTCATTTGGATTTAAAACTAATATAAGTTATTTAGATCAGGTGCTCTGAGTTTCTTAATTAGATTCCTGCAAGGACTATATTCATATTCTTCTTGTCTTTTCCACTTCAATATTTAGCAAGAATTCTAGCAAGTAAAAATAACTGCCTCCAACTCCGAAATAGAAAAAGTTTGTATGAAAAAATCGGCGTTTTCAAACGTTTTAATTCTTAGTCAACACCCGTAACTGGAAACTCTTAAATGGCTATTACAACTCCTGTTTGCGGGGAATTGGAAACATAATCCTCAGCCGAAAGCTCCAAAATCCCAGACAGCTCAGAAACAAACTTTGTTTGTTCACCATTCTCTCTCATGGGAAATCACCGAGACAAAAACTGTCGTATCTGCGCGTCACCACCATCCATTCATTGACCTATGTTTGTAAAAGTCCGACAACAATGTTTTGAGCTTAATAAAAAAAGGGTACTCGCGACGTATGTGAACCAAGATAAATTTTATTCCAATTTTCCGTATTTTAGTTCTGTTACGAGTCCGGGGACTAGCTAAGTGACACCCGTAGTATTTGCACCTGAAATTATGGCCTAATCTTAACCTGGTACACATTCTACGTTCTGGTGTCCGCCATCTTGGTTCCCATACTTTTGGAGTGCCAAAAAAGTTGTCCTTTGAGCAATACCTTCACATGAGCACGCCTTTACAAAAAGCAAATTTATCACGAACCTTCAATGATACAGATTTATATATATAAATTAGTTCGCCAACGCATATCCTTAAGAGTTCACGAAAGCGTAGCAACGTTGTATTCGAAAATTGTAGTCGTTGCAACGGTAACACTTTCATATTGTTGTTAGCAGACGGACCGTGAATCCTGAAGACTTTGTGTAAAAAAATTACTGTTTTAATCAAAAAGTGTTAAAGATATTCGCAAACAAAAGCGTGAGTACACACCTCTTACAGAGTCGAACACCCTGATTTGTTAAATTAAGATTGGGAACCAGTAACGTGTGTATTTCTCAGTGAATTAAAGTCAATTTATTTTTATGCCTTATATGCGAAGCACAG